CGTTAGGAAACAAAACTTCAAGAACATGGCCACACAGCCCGGAAGACCCACACCAGCCACCGATATATAATGCATGATAGCAAGGAATTTAGAAAAAGCTTACTTGTCTTTCCAACTGTTCTATAAGCTTCACGGAGATTTTGTGTAAACATAGGGATGATTGGCTAAAAAAGGAGAGAGGGAAATAAAAGATAAAAATTGATAGAAACTAGGAAAGCATCTTGGTTTGTTTTGGGACTTTTAAGAAAATTAATTCATTTAACCACAAGATTTTCATCACTGAATCTGTAATGACAATTCTATCTCATTAGACAGTTGATTTAAAAATGGTATAATCCCTTTGTTATGTCTTAATGTTCTAGTTCCTAAACCTCAGCACATTTTTCATTTTTTGGATGAAAGTTCAAGTGAAATGCTCCTTGAAGCCTTGGCATGAAGGAAAGGGGTCCTCTTGGTTTGAAGAATGAAATGAAAAGATTACATTGCTTTGCTTCAGCTGCCTCCACCAGTACTTGGCGTAGCTGGTAGACTTTTCTGTCTTTTGCAAATGCCAGTAAATACAGATGCAAGAATCACATTGCTTTGCAGTATCAAGCTTTTTTGCCTGAATGAACCTAATCCTACCTTTCTTACATCTATTATCTCCCCTTACCTAAGCTACATTCTGATTAGCTGCTGTCTCACTTGTCAGTTGTCCTGGTTTTCATTATCTTTATACTACAAATGACTTAGCTAGAAACAGAAAAAAATATTTTTAGTTATTTGCTATTGAACTGTGTGAACAAATGCTCGCCATCCTAACTTATTTTTTTCTAATAACTGATAACTCTTCAAGGGATTCTTTAGTAATCTCTTCAATCTCACAGTCTGATTGATTAATAGATCTGTTGATCTGTGATGCTCTTAGTAACTGCCTCCATATCTCTGAAATAACATTACCTTTCATGATCTTCTTTAAGCTTGTTCTTGCACTTCTCTCTAGGATAAATATCCTTTTACTTCTGGAGTGCACTGTCCATCTTTATCTTTCATTGAGTCCAAGAAAACAAAACTATCTGCCACCTTTACTTCTGTATTGTCAGTGTAAATTTTGGAAGCATGCAGGTTGACATTACCTTTGCCTTCTTAATATCTAACAATAACCTTGAATTTTTTACTTTGATTTTTACTTTCTTCATAAGCACCACTAAGTCTTCTTATTTTGGGCTCTAATATTGATTCTAGTAATCATCTCTCCTGATCCCACCATTCTTGTAATGTATTTGTTATAAAGGTTAAAGAGGTAATCTGTCCCTTCCTTCCTCCCTCTCTCCCTATGTCTATTCCTTTCCTATTCTGAATCACTCCATTTCTACAAATTCAGTTATTAGAATAGCTTCTTGTTCACTGAAAAGAGTGCCCAGAAGAATAATCAGGTGTTCTGGCACTCTCATTCACCCTAATACATTCCTCAGATCATGATCTACTTTGCTGTAATCAATGGAGCAGAAATAAACCACCTTTATATATTCTCTCTTTTATTATAGCTATCTGATTTGAAATTTGAAAGAGTTCAATGGCTATTGCCTCTCTTTCTGGTGCTTTCATATTTGACAGGTATTGTCTGTTGTACCTCACTTTTTAATAGAATGATTTCCTGCTTATATTCTGTTCATAAATAAGTAGAGTTTCTATTTAAGTCACTAGAATGTGTCTGGTGATGCAAGTCATTGAGAAATTAATATACTAAACATGAAGTCTTGTTCAAATTGTATGTCTTAATCTCAGTCCTGGAATATACAGGTAGTCTTCACTCATTGACCATTTGTTCAGTGACCGTTCAAAGTTACAACAGTGCTGAAAAAGTAATTTTACAGCCCATTTATGGCCATTTATGATCTTCGCAGTGTGCCTCAGTCATGTGATTGCCACTGCAGTCAGTATGCATTGTCCTGTGCATGACCTGTTCTTTTTTCTTCCCCTTGCAGAGCAGAGAGTTTGGAGAGGGATTTCAAGAGAGTAAGCTGTTTGCTCTTCTACACATCAAAAGCAGTGCAATTGCCCCGACAGTGGGAAAGGGTCAGGTATAGGAGAGATTGCCTACAGAAATCACTTCTTTTTTTTCTCCTCACCCCCTTGCAGAGTGGAGAGATTGAAGAGAAAGGGATTTCAAGAGAGTAAGCTGTTTGCGTAGTGTGCCCTAGGCTGCCATTGTGATCACATTGCTTTTGATGTGTACAAGACAGTAAGCAGGTACTTGAACATCCCAAAGCGGGAGAGTGCAGACAAAAAGCAGAAGGTGAGAGATTGTCTAGTCTTGTCTCTTTCCAGCCAGAAAGCACAGTTGTGGTCATGGGATTTCCTGCTTAGCAACCGCTTTGCTTACTGGCAGAAGTGCCAGTCCCAGTTAAGATCATTAAGTGAGGACTACCTGTATAAAGCAATTGGTGCTAAACTCAAATGTTTTGCTATTACTTATACATTAATTGAATATATTAACCTAATATCAAGCAATTACTTTAGTCTTAGACTATGTTCCAGTTTCTCCTATAAAATTATTTTATTTATTTATTTATTTATTTATTTATTTATTTATTTATTTATATGAATTGATATAATTTAGCTCCCAACATGGAGATTTAATCACTTAAGGATATCTGTATAGGAGCTCTTGGGGCATAATCCTTAATATGAGCAATAGACCACTTACCACTTGTGTTTCTAAAGCCACTTGAGCAAAACCAGTACCAGCACTCCAGACCATATTGTAATATTCATCACTAAAATTTGCTTCTCTCAATCCACCAGGTGAAATTCCTAATAAATAGCCTTTCTTGAGCATTTGAACACATTCTGCTTTTTTGCCTTTTATGCAACCCACAACATCAAAATTCAGCTTTATACCTGTTTAAAAAAAATCCAGAAGAAAGCAGCATGTTATATAAATACATTATTCCTAGCAAAGAATAAGAATTATATAGCTGTCACCATTGTGGTGATATTGACCATTTTTTTTTGTATAATATGGCAGACTGCCATTCTGCTCATTAGGGGAGAGGTCAGGACAATTGTTATGATTTCTGCCTTTTTTTCAAGTGTCCTGCTGGTTTTATGGAATATGCTTTTTCTGGACATTACAGTGTAGCCATGTATGGCTTGAACTCTCTAGTGGTCTCACTGTTTCACCTCCATGCATTCACCTCAGGGTGAATGCTGGAGTTATTGCTTTCACTGGGATTCCAAATCAGCTCTTCAAACTGGCTCTACCATTGAAGATGGAATGGTTATGTTAAACCTGCCTGTTTATACAATTAGATCTGGCATGCTGAATAGGATCTAAGTAGTGGATCTCCTGAGTGGGAACTACCAAACTAAACACCAGTGGGCTATGGATACAGGGACCATATGTCCATTATTATAAAGGACAGTCCTTTATTTCAGAAAGCTGTCCTTTAGATGTATTTAATTTAATTATTTTCTTGGTTTTACTCTTGAATTCCCTTTGTAAAGCAAAGTTATAAACATAAACAATTAATTTTTTTTTTTATCCATATGAACCTCTTTCAGATTTGCCACTTTTTCAGGTTTGTCCTTTATGATCACTGTAGCTATAGATGACTTGATGGAACACAAGTTGGACAGATGAAACACTCCCTTTAAAACATCTTGCATCCCTGTTATGGCATGCCCATTCTTTGGCATGAGCTTTTTTCTCAAGAAAAATGAACTTTTAGAATACTGAAGGGATTAGGGCAATGCTCTAATTCTAAATATAAAATTAGCATACTTTACCTGGTACTAAAAACAAGCCATAATGAATTACAGAACGGACTAGTCTCCCAGTTTTTAAATAAAGACTAGCTATAAATAAGATATAGTCTACAGTAATAGCTCCATGGTAATAAACAATCATCCCTGGTCCTTCAGGTAGATGCTCCATGCCAATGATCTCATAACCTGAAAAGACCAAGTTGTAGCCATAAACAAACATAAAAACAAATAAAAACATTTTTGAGCTTAAAGATGGAAAAAGTTAATGTAAAACAAGGAAAATAAAACAGCACAGAAGATGCAGTGTATCCTTTTTCAACAAGGCAATTCCCAGATATTAGAAATCCCTGCTGGCTTGATCAAAATCTCTCTAGGAATCTTGGCAGTTGGGCTCTGACTATATCTGACAGTTGAAGAAGGCTACATTAATCTCTGGGGAAACCTGTCAACAGTAAGTGACCCTGACTGAACATAGGTTGAGTTCAAGCTTGAGCCTAAACTGTGGTGATAAATGAAAAAGTGCCATTGCTTGTCCTCACTTATTGCATCATAGGCTGTCATCTGACAGCTTTTTGTAGAATGGCCAACTCCCATCTAGGGTGATGGCAACTGGAAGATTTCCCACCTGACCAGTTTGCATAGCACTTTGCCAACAGAGTCATTCAGATTTGAAAATCCCTTGACTACTCATAAGCGGAATCCAAAATGGTGACTGGGCAGTGTCTTAACATGTTTCCTGGGATTCATTTTAGACTGTGGACTCTGATGAACTGGTTAGGTTGCTCTCTAGTATGTCCTTGACCATTTGAGTGTTTGATTTATGGCCCTCCTGGCTGCTGTGTGGGGCACAAGGAGCAGGGTGCGTGGGTGGGCGGGATATGAAAAACTGGTTCTGGGAGATAGTCAGTGTCTCGATTTGAGAGAGACATGGTACTGTAGCCTTGAAGGAGACTAGTGGATGACCCCTCATCAATGGATCCCCCCATTCTTGACAATTATTTCCCAATCTCTAACTACTCCTTCAGGACAGCACCAGAACATCCTAGATGAAGCAGGTTATCTGAATTCTTCGCAGTCAGGGTTCAGGCCTGGGCATGAGATGGAGACAGCCTTGGTCCCGCTTTTGCATTAGCTTTGTCAGGACTTGAAAAGAGGTAGTGCATCTCGCCCAGTTCTTTAGACTTTTTGGTGGCCTTTAAGACCACTGTACATCACTGTACAACACTACCCCTGGCTATTTAAGAAATTCCATTAATGTCTTGACATTTGACAGTCAGGATGGAAGAAAACAGGGTGAGATTGAATCCTACAAGATGGAGTTACAGTTTCAAATTACTTTCAGTTCTCTGACAGCTTCAGTGATGTTTCTTGATGATGTGGCAATTCCCTTGAAAGACAAGGATCTTATGGGTCCCTCTGGACTCAAGGTTATTGCTTCATAGGCATGTGGAGGACATGGCTAGGTGAACTTTTGCCCAGCTTCATTTGGGGCAACAGCTGCAGTCCTATCTGGAGCAGGAAGACCTCACTTCTATGACAGATGCCATCATCAATATTGGAATCCTCTCTATGTTGGGCTGCCCTTGAAGACCATTCAGAAGCTTTACTTGGTTAAGAATGCAGCAGTTGGTTATTGGTTAGTGCTCCAATCATAAACATATTATGTACACCAGACCTTTAGGCTCTGTACTTGCTCCTCTTCTGGGTGCAAGTCAAAATGCAGCTACCTAAAAAGCTGTAATTGATTTGGTAAAAAAATACTTGCAGGATTGCCTTCTCCAACTGTAAGACTCCCAACTTGAGTCTTCTGGGACAAGCTGCTGGACTTTCACAAAGTGTGTGTGTGGTGGTGGTGGGGGGGGGGGTCACATAAGCGTTGCTTTTTATTGGCAGTGCCTATCTGATAGAATAGCTTCCCTTTCACAATCATGCTAGCCTCACATTCTTTCTCTTCTAAGAATTGTTAAAAATTGAAGTATTTCTGAGGCTTATAATGAATGATACGGCACTCTTGTTTGAAGGATTACATGTAGTTTATTATAATTCCCATGTTTTTATGTGTACCCTGAATGTTTAATGAACTTTTTTTTTAATACCATCAATTTATATAACCTGCCAAGAGTACTGTTGTTTGCTATGAGATAAATAAGTAAGCAAATAAATAAATAGTTATTTGACAATTTTGCTGTCTATGAAAGATAGTGGGGCATAGGATAGGTTCTGGTGCAACATAAAAGAAGCTGGAATTTTAAGCTCTCAACCTTTCATATGTTGAGTTAGTTAGTTTGCTTCTTTAGTAGATTTATATACCATTTTTATTTTGTGTAACTCAAACCAGTGTACACAACAACCACTGTGTGAAGTGAATTGGGCTAAGAGAGAGAGATGGAGCCCAAAGTCACTCAGCTGGCTTTCATGGCTAGGAAAGGGTTAGAATTTATGGTCTCTCAGTCTCTTGTTCATCATTTTAAGTAATACCTCAACATCCGCAGGTATCATATTTGTTTTGACTATGTTTAAAAGCAGAACCATTTTGATGCAGAGAGATTAATATTACTAGTTTGACACAGCACATTGTTTCACAGAAATAGTGGGCAATCTGTGGGTCATATGAAAGTGGAGATTCTTTATTATTTTTAGACTATTTAAGGAATGACTCACTTACCGTACCATATCTTTCCATAAAAATCCAAACATTTTGCCAACCTTTGCCTTGGTTTGTTCCACAAAATGTCTCCATCTCTGGTATATTTTTTCTTCCAAATATAAAAATAAAATGTGGAAATGTAGCAAAGTAAAAAAATGCTTGAATATACATAATATATAAGAAGAAAAAATACTGATAATAACAGAGGAGGTTGAAGTACAGAGCTCACAGAATCTGCCAAGTAACTAAAATCAATCCTGTCCTTTAGCATGTGAATAAACCATGTCATAGTTTCATACTCAGAAGTATTCAACATAGTAGCTTTCATTTCATTCATATTAAAGAAGAAAAAGAAAAAAAATCTGTATGATTTAATTATTGGGAAGAAATTGATGATATTTCTTCTTTTCCTGGAAAATTTCAGACCATGATGTTGCACTTAAATTTTTAATCATTATTGATTTAATCATTATTGATTTAATCATTTAAATTTAATCATTAACCCCCTTCTCCATTCATACCTAGAAATATCCAGAATTGTAGCTTTAATTTCATTCAAGAAAAAGAAGAAAAAACCAAAAAAAGAGAGGGACCATGATTTACTTCCTGGCAAGCACTTATTTATTGTTGCATCATTATCACCTTGACTTGCAAATATAATTACTGGATTGAATGAATGTCTCCACCCACAGAATCCTTCATCACAAGTAAAGGGAGTGAGGAAGGCCAAATGCAAGACTGTGAGATCATTTAACATTGGATTTAGGACATTGTGCATGAACAGGATTGCATCTCCTTCTCCCTCTCCCTCCCTCCCCCCCCCCTTCTCTCTTGTGCCTTTGAGTCAGTGTTGACTCCTGGCAATTGCCTGGACTAGTCCCTGCAATTTTCTTGGCAATGATTTTTTGGAAGTAGTTTGCCATTGCCTCCTTCCTAGGGCTGAGAGAGAGTGACTGGCCCAGGGTCACCCAGCTGGCTTTGTGCCTAAGGCAGGGCTAGAACTCATGGTCTCCTGATTTCTGGCCTGATGCCTTAGCCACTACACCAAAATGGCTCTCATATATCTCTTACATTTTAGAAACTCATATTTCCCATTAAATATTTTCCTTATTCTCTCACCTGAAATAAAAATTGAACTTAGTAGATGTCACTGCTTTTGTATATTGGCTTGAATGGTCTTGACTTTAAAAGATGAAGATTTGGGCATAGTTTTAGCATGTCTGACATTCCTATATTTATCTACAGGTAGTCTTCATTTAACCACCACAGTTGGGACCAGCAACTCAGTTACAAAGTGACACAGTTGTTAAATGAGATATCACATGACTACAATAGACTTACAACCTCACTTTTGCCATGGTCATTAAGCAAATCACCCGCAGTCGTTAAATGAGACATCAAGTGACTGCAGCATGTGATTTTACTGCTGGCTTCTCCGTTGACACTGCTTGGTAGAAGCCTGCTGTGAAGTGCACAAATGCCAATCGCATGACCATGGGACACTGCAATGGTCATAAATACCTACTGGTTGTGAAATGCCCAAATCTTGATTATGTGACTGTGGGGATGCTGTGATGGTCATAAGTGCGAGGACTGGTTGTAAAGTTACTTTTCAGTGCTGTCATAACTTCAAACTGTCACTAAACAGGGCAGTCATTAAGTGAGGACTACCTGTATAAATTGTGATGATCTGTATTTCTCATCTGCTCCAATTCTGTTGGCAAGATGAATTGAAAGAATATTCACTTATCACTTAGGTTATTATAAAAATGAACATATGTGAGAGGCGGTCTCTGCCTGACTCTCACCAAAGCCTTAAGCTACCTGTTAATGTGTGTCCTGAGGCTATCAAAGTGTGTGTCCTGAGGCTTGCAGACAAATACCTTTCTGGGAGTGGAGAGGTAGAACTGAGAAATACTAAATAGAGATAGTTGAAATCTAGTTGGACGAGAGGTGACAGAGAAGGGGCTACTGTTCATAAGAGGATCAAAATGGCATTCTGGAGATGGCTGGAGAGAAAATACAAAAGGGAAATAGGAGAAGAAAACCAGAAGTCACAAAGCCCATAGAACAGCCCATGGGGAGTGGTGATAGAGGAAGAAGTGGAAAGCAGCTGTGTGGAACCCAGAAGGACCCGGACAAGGCTAGCAAGAGATTCCTGCATTCCCCCAGAACAGAATTCCAACGGAGGCATTTGAGAAAGGGTGAAGGCTGAGACAGAGAGGAACGGTGTTGTGTCAACAGGGAAGATGAGTGACAGCTGTCCTCTTGTGAGGAACACACTTCAGACTAAGACTCTTGAAGGAGGAAGCTGGAAGGAGAAAACAAGGGATTCTGGGGACAAAAAAGAGGGAGAGGAGAAAGAGAAGAGAGAGATAAGAGAATAATAGAAGTCTAAGACTTAATGTATAACAATGCAGTAAAAGAGTAAAACAGAGAATGATAATCAAGGGGGAGTGAGAACTGGAGAGGCTGAAGTGGTGAAATTAGCATTTGGAGGAATACAGTTTTTGGCAAGTACAGAGAAGCTAAACAGAATTTTGATTGTAGGAAAGATGGAAAAGGAACAAACCTTTAAAAATGTAGAGGGAAAAGAATGAAAGGGTGCACAGATAAGAAATCACCTTCTTTAGTATGTGAGCAAACTGAATATTTTGTATAAATATTTTATTTTGGTAATAAAAGCCAATGTCTTGCCTGCTTGCAACCATCTCTTATAAAAAAAATCATGCAACAACATAGCCCAACCACAATGCCAATGGTCTAATATTGGAAGCTGTAATTCAGCAATGCCTGAAAGATCCCCAGCTGATCTGTGACCAAGTGTATGCTTTATGGTGCTGCAAGATGCCTTGATCTCAGCAGACTATGACAACAATGAAAGTATTGACAGGCAATTTCCATCACCTCCCCACCCTTGACACACATGCACAAACAAACCATATTTCTTTTTACTCACTAGTTTTGGGGAAAAAACACTTCTTTTGCCTTCAATCACTTCACTCTGCTAACAGCAACTGTTTCTTTTGATTTTATGCTTATATATTGTTACATCTATCTGCCATCTACACAGAAAATGTTTCCAAAGTTAGCTTAGCTACCTGCCTCATCTACTTAAAAATCATAGCTAATTTGTTCAGGTTGTCAGAAAGCTGTTGTTCTCCCACAACAGAACCCACTGTGCTTGCACATTATTGCAAAAGAGTGTGATGGGTTACCGAAAGACAGCATTCCTTCCTACACTCTCCCAGATTTGCTTCCAGCTTGCAGTTGAACATTGCAATAACGCCGTGTTTCTTCACTAATTGCTACCTTTCATTATCTACTGATTAATTTTTGTATGCTACATTTGTCAGAACTAGAAATACTATAGGCAGGGCAAGGTGATTTTCATCAAGGATTGCACTAAGAAGTCAATGCAATGCATATCCTTCCTCGTCAGCAAGATGGGGCGACATGCTGTTAGTTTGCAAGGCACCCTCAGATCAGCCTTTCTTAGCTGGGGTTCTGCGGAACCCCAGGGTCTGGGACAGCTTCCTAGACATTCCACGAGAGATTGTGATTGAACCCCCCCCACTCCCCCACATACCTCCTTTTTTGAACTTTGTGTGCCATGAAATGCAAGCACGTGCAGTGGTGGGAATTTTTACACCCTGTGGCTCAGCTGCTGGCCTGCTGATATTGTTGTTAATGTTGTAAAACACAGGTTGTGTAGGTTAGAACCAAATTATATTGTGAAGTTTTTGTATTTTTTTTTTCAATTTTTATGCAGGGGTCCCTGAGATCTGAAAATTATTTCAAGGATTCTTCCAGGGAAAAAGGTTGAGAAAAGCTGCTCTAGATCAGTTATCTTAATCTGTTCAAATTAGCATATTACCTTGTGTAAAACTGGGTTTTGATTGTAGTTTTGGAATACTACCCAGAAGTACTGACTGGTACTATCTTTATCATTAGCAGGAAACACTGCGCGCATCATGCGTACCACTAAGGCTCATATAATCTGTTAGAGGCATAGTTGGTGATTAATTACTCCGCAAATAATAGATTAAATACAGCAACAAAGAAAAGTGTTTGGAAACTACTAGTTTCACAAAGATAACCAGTGTAGTGTAATAGTGGTATTATTATTTTACATTTTATTAAATAAATTGTGTTATTCCAACAAGTTTGCAACAGCAAGTTTGCAATGTTTGAAATATTTAAACAATACAAGATTGTTACACCTGATTAGCATATAATAATTCCACATTGAATACAATTGTGACTTGACCGTGTATTTAGAATTTGAACACTGACCATGATTTTTTTTAAAACCATAGCTATAGAACATAACTTTGAATACAGTTGTTACATTTTTTAAGAGTTGCCATTGTTAACTTATTATAGATTTGATGGCTAGAAGTAAGAATATAACAAATTCTTTATTAATTAGCTTAGCATAATGTCTTTCAAATATATGTAATAACCCCAATTCAGAAATACATGTTACTTTTTATTTAATTATATAGATTTGCTGAAAGATGCACAGGTCTACCACGTATGAAGAAATGTACCCTCCTGTTTATATTTTTTCCAACATTTTACTGAATAATTGCTATATACATTATTTGTATTGGGGTTAACTGCCATCTATGTATTACCTTCAGCTGCAATTCTTGTATGGAGGCCAATAAGTATTCTGCAGACTCCCTGTCTTCCATCTTCCACAGTCTAACAGGAAGACCACCTATCTCCATCTCCAGCAATATCTTATATATTTTATAAAACATTCATTTTGATTCCAAGTGATAATCAATTATACATTTCTTAAAATTGACCAAAAGGCAGTTTGCTATTTCCTTTAATGCCTTCTCATTCAAACATGATTTAAATTGAATCCATATTAAAAAAAAAAAGATATCTGATGACTAGTTTAAATTCAAACTGTTCTGTACTGGATAACAAATTGTTGTCATAAAAATCTGTTGTCCTACATAAACTACCCTATTTTGCCTGGTTCCCTCACTTCAGCTTTATATTTCTCCAATTCATATTTTGCATCCCTAAATCAAACATTGCAGTAACCAGCACAAAATGTGTGTCCCTCTTTTGAGCAAACAGATACTTCAGTACATTTAAGTAAGTGTTAAAGAAATAACTTAATGTAACCTGCTGCTTAATCCCATCCTCCCTTCTCCACTCCATTTCCCTAATTCCCATCTCATTCCTCCGACTATATTACCCTCCCAGACCCTGAATGTAAGCAGTGCTCACAGAAGATTTACAAATACTTTTTTTTTCAATCTAAAATGGTAAAGTGTGTGTACATGTGTGTGTGCTCTAAACTCATATGATTTC